TGTGTGTGTGTGTGTGTGTGCGCTTTTTCATGCGCCATGGTGCGTATATGATCCTGGGACAACTTTGTGGAGTCAATTCTTTCCTTCCACCATATGGGTTCTGGGATCCAACTCTGACTTGGTGGCAAATGCCTTTCAGTGCTGAGCCATCTCGCCTGCCTTGCAATATCTTATCATTTGAAAGCTCCCTGTAGTGGATCTACGGGAAAAGTTATGAAGAAAACAAACAAAACAAAATAAAACCTCTCACAAGTGAAAGTGACTATCTCCTGTAAGAAACTGACTTTTATGTGCATTTAGAAATGTGTGCATTTTCTTTGTATTTGTTTTATTTTGTTCGTTTGTTTTCAAGACAAGGTCTCTCTGTATAGCCCTGACTGTCCTGGAACGCACTCTGTAGACCAGGCTGGCCTCCAACTCAGAAATCTGCCTACCTTTGCCTCCTGAGTGTTGGGATTAAAGGCATGCGCCACCACTGCCTGGCAGTGTTTTTGTTTGTTTTAATTAAAACTTAAATTATATGGTGTGTGTGTATAGGCACATATGTGGATGTCAGAGGTCAAACTCTGGGGAGTTGGCTCTCTGCTTGATTCTGGCTTCTGCAGAAAGCCCCCCCCCCCTTTTTTTTCCTGTTTTTTTCAAGACAGGGTTTCTCTGTGTAGTTTTGGGGCCTGTCCTGGATCTCCCTCTGTAGACCAGGCTGGCCTCGAACTCACAGAGATCCGCCTGCCTCTGCCTCCTGAGTGCTGGGATTAAAGGCGTGCACCACCACCGCCCGGCCCAGCAAGCACGTTTTATCCTGTGAGTCATCTCATTGGCCCTAATTAGGTTTTCTGAGACAAGGACTCACTCTGCAACCTCACCCAGCAAGCCTCTTGCCTCAGCTTTTTCACTGTGAGCATCTGGGGTTGGTTTTAAATATTAGTGGCACCTAGTCTTCAGAGGCAGAACCATGGGCAAGGGGCTAACCTTTGACGGTTTTCCTTGCCTCTCTCCTCCCAATGCTGTCATGGCTAGTGGGCAGCTTGTGAGGGGCTAATTTTCGCTTGGCATCATGCCTGGTCATCACACATGTAAGAAAGTATCTGTGGTTACAAGTCAGTTTAGGAACAAGTTTTTCATACTGAAGCTACAGCTGTTATGTTTTTGTGCCTTTTCTAGAGCTACCTGATGGAATTTCACAGGGACCATTTACCAGTGATTATGTGGACTTGGCTGCCGTTTCTTCTCGAAATGAGCAGCAGTCTACACTCCAGATGCCACCAGCTCTTTGCATAGATTCAAGGTGCAGCAGCTTGCAAGGTTCTGCCTGTGAATCCCAAGCATGGCATGCAAACGCCTCTTCTTCCCTTGGGTTTTTAGTGGATGGTGACCAGGAGGTAGTTTTGTTTTGGAGGGAGGCACACCATCACATAACTGGTCGGGATACACACACACACACACACACACACACACACACACACACACACACACACACACACACAC